TTTGCATACTTTAAAAAGTGCTGACAAATGCACCACGTCGTCAGCTTTCACTAGCCATGAGTGAGGTTACTATTTTGGGCGTTGATATATATGTGGAACCACTTTCCCAATAGTAGAGTTGTAAACCTTATCAGGCGCTAACTACTTGTCCTATGTCACCTGGCTAATATCTGTCTATGTGTGTATGTCTGCGTGTGTGCTGGAGATGTAATGTGTGTCTGTTTGTAGTGGGACCGTGTTTCAACGGCATCGTTGATAGTGCCACCTCACTTGAATGCTACAGTACAGACCAATTTATACTCCACATGGGTTGTTGGAGTTGTGAGGGCAGGAGAAAAACTCTTTCTCTGAATATCCATGCGTACGACGACTTGGCATTGTTTTGATATTTTAGTTTTGAGGGAAATTCGGAAAAATGAAACATTCCCTTTCCTTCTTGTAAGGAAGTGAAAACCTTCATTATCGGAGAATCTTTCCTGTCTTGCATAGACCGTTATTGCAGGGAAATATCCTTTTGTCTCATCAATTTCTTTTACATGAAGAAGATTTGTTAGTTGAATGATTTGTTAATGTAAATTCAAAAGTGCGTGTTGAGAAGAACATATATTGTGCTATTTAGCGGTGTATAATTATTTGCTACTAGTTTCCCTAACGAGAAAAACCTAACAAAAGGGGACATCGGCTACAAAGCATCGCATTACTTACAAAGTTAACTTTCGTTTCAAGAAATCTGTCATCTGTACGTGTAAACTACCCGTCGATCGTGGACATCATTGTAACAGACACTCAGCTCGTGAACGAATCTACTACGATCGCGCTGCGAGGAAATGCAAACCTTTCAACTATCGTGGTTGTGGTGGGAACAAGAACAGATTCAAGTCTCATCACGACTGCCGTAAAGAGTGTTCCTAGATGGCAGAGGAAAGGAAAGTTTCGTGTATCATTCTGACAATTTGCCGGACAAAAATAAAATACTGAAATGGACAAAGAGAAATTACTTTGCAACAATTGTCGAATCAAAATTCCTTTAGAGGAGACACAACCTCATATCATGATTACAATGTATACCAAGTTTCAAAGAGATCAGTCGAAAAATGTAGGAGGAGATTGCCGGACAAACAAAAGTTAACGCCGGACGGACGGACGGACAACGTCATACCATACTACTCTTGTAAAATTTGATGGGCGTATAAAAAGGGAAGAAAAGTAATTAGGAAATAATATGAGTAGCAGCTAGCATTGCATGTAACAAATAAACCGTATGAAAACAACAAAAGGATTAGCTGTTAATTGCAACGAACAAATTAGTTTCTATTAATGTTTTCAAAGCATAAACTATCTGACTTTTGTTCAGTGTAGCATATCAAACGTCCCTCTTCCTACTATAAACACTCTACTGAGCCTGTTTATCCATATACATTCATACAGACTATTATTGTCAGGAAAAAGTTGGTGTTAGGCAAGGAGATGCACTTTGGTCCTTGTACTCCAAATCACCGGAAAAGGTGTTTTTAAGTAAAAAGGCATTATGGGATAAGTATGAAACTTTTACAAATTAAATAGCATCATATAACTAATATCTATGCCAAGATACATGCTAATCCCCAAATGCCTTTTATGTACAATCAGCGGATAAACATTGGAAATAGGCAGAACATTTGATAAAACAATGAAATCGGTTAACTTTAACGATTAAAGCAGATACTTTTCTTGAGGCTAGGAGACTTAAAATAACCAGCAAATCAAACATCATATATTAAATCAATCATTTTACAGTAGTTGTGGTGGCAAATGCCATTTTTTATTTGTATGTTAACTTTGAAAAGTAGAAAAATAAATCGGAACCTGGAACTCACTTCAGCCACATGTGTTGGGCAAATAATATATGATATATATAATATACAATACTAACAATTGATATCTTAGACTTATATCATATAAAGGGTGTCCTGCACCTTTTAATTCACTTAAGATTGAGAAATATTTGAAATAGCCAAGTTTGATATGTGTCCAGAAGCCATAACTCCGTAAAAAACAGAAGGATAGAATGTAGTCAATATGCAATGTAAGTCTACTTAAATGAGTAAAGTTATAAATTTCAAGTTAAAATATTAATTAGAAAGGAAATCATTGAAAAATCAAAACACTTTTCATTTGGAAATTACCTAAAACGACCCCGCCTTAATCCCTTGTTTTATATAAACAATATTTAAGTGACTATTGAATTTTCATTCTGTTACATATGCTTGTCCAATTTATACATGTTTTCAAAAACAGAAATGGTATTATTTTGGTTTTTAAGCTCATTTTGAAAAGAGCAATCTATATTTGTGATTTACACTACCCCTTTTGGTACCCCAAGAAACCCACTTTCGGTCAAAGTTTTACCTTATTTTTTGTGCATGTCATACAATAGGACATCTTTAAACAAAAAAGGGAGGTGTAAAACCGAATATACCGGGGCCCAAAAAAGAGCCTTATAGACACTCATCCTTTATATTCTTGATATGATCATCGACAGTTTTCATTGTGCGTAATAATGTGTCTTGCGGTGTCGTTGTTTATTTCATCGGTTCGCAGTATGAAAATGTGACATTGCTTTAACTTAATTAGGGTATACGTGGTTGGTGCCTTTTATGGGGGTTTAACATGGAGCCACGAATGGAAAGATTTTTTTTAATACTGAATAGATAGATAGCATCATGTCCAAGTTTGGAACTGAGTCTGCACCTTTTGTATCACGAAAAAACTGTATCAACGTTACCGACAGGCAGCACCAAACAAGCCATAGCCAGCTTGCTCCAGTTGGAGTAGTGACAATTTCCCCAAAATGTCCCATTAACATAATCGGTCTTTCACTAGAATCGGTAATCTGAATCGTTTGAGTCCCTGCAGGTAGGGCATACGAATTGTACCTGCTGTCCCTATTACCTGATCGTAAGAGGCGACTAAATTTGGGATCTTATCTATTTTCTTCTTTCTAATCAAATTTCCTCTTCCTAATGTCTCCCTTGACAATGCCTCACTTTTGCCCTTTAGTTGAGCGTTCGCCCCTGTGAGGAAGGCTTTGGGTAGTTTGCCAGGAAAACATATACATGTACAATACAAATACAGATTCTAAATGACTAACTGTATTAATTTAATTTACCTAAAAATGCTGTGTTGAATTCCTTTTGTGGGGTCAGAATGAAGTTTAACTTCAACTTTATTTCTCTTTCCAAAGTTATAAATGTACAGAAAACATGTTTACAACAGTATACAATATCAAATGTACTATATATCGAGGGCAAATCATGATACCTTTTTAAACAAAATTTTGATAATTTTGCATAAATGTCTTAAATTTTTAATATTGTTTGTATTCATTAGTTCTGAAAACGTTACCATATTTTGCATTACATATTAGTATTTGTATAGATATAACGTCCTTTCTGTGGACAAAAAGGGACATCTGAACAAGTAGTGAAATTCGTCACCAATATTTTGTTTTGGTCATCAACATTATTCCAGTTTCCAGTTTCTACTGTAAACTTATGATAACTCGTTCTAAATTTACACAATACGGGTCGTTCATTTTCAGTCAACAATTCTAGAAAATTTACCTAAAAGCTAGCACATGTGCGCGAGAACACTGTCCCCAGATACATATATTCGTCTTCACATTATATGTCTTCATCATAAAAAGTAGAAACATTTCTAGCAACATGCCTACATTTGCTAAAAAACATACATTTTGTTTTACTAATACTTACTTTTTATTTCCAAATCAGGAAAATAGGACGTTAAACAAAATTAAACCAAACCATACCAATCGACAATTTGATATATGTGTGCCTCGTGTGCTCTTGTTATTTATCTCATTTTCGTAATTAAAATGATTATTTCATCATTGAAAATGATTTTATGTGACACGGCAAAGGATTGCACTAAACATGTAACACTGCAAACAACAAATGCAAACTCATTGACAAGTTCAGAAGTTTATGTCTGGTGAGTTATTCCTTCAATCAAAGGAATCACGTTGATGTACGTGGTTATATCATCGTTGTATTGTAACTTACATCAAAGGCATTCCCAGAATTTACATAATTATGTCTTAAGTACTTGTAACAGCACTTACCGTACAATCCGCCAAATACACATGTTGATATGTGATATGATGTACACCTGAGTTGTTCGCACAAAGGGTTAATCTTCCTTAACAGAAAAATCCTACTTATACTACTATAAAAAGAACAGGTGTTGGTAATACATGATGTACCTGTGAGATGTGTAGCTGGTTCTTTAGCACTCATTCTTAACAGGTATACATTCTATTTCGAAGGAGTAACTAATTGATCAGCTTATTTATGTTTTAACATATTTATTGAAAAATAAAATTGAAAGTGAAACTAAATTGTACATGACAAATTTATTGAATAATGTGAACAATTTATTCATCAAGTTAACTTTAAAATATACCTCGTGTTAAAACGATTCTCTTCCCACCTGCAGACAAAACCCTGGACAATTTTCACTGCAGATTTCCTTACATACAATAATGAAGCCGTCATTTCGTTATCGATATGATATAACTATAGCACGCCTAGGCGATTGTACTGAAGTTGACAAGGTACAAAAGTTCAGATTGTAAGAGCGACATTAAAATTGTCTGAGGTCCAGGGTTCGAATCATCGGCTGGCTTAACTGTTTTATATACACCAGGAACACAGCGTTCTGTTGTGTTTATTGATCTTTACGTTAGTTGTTTTAAAAGTTCCAAATCCTGTGGATTTCTATTCGGAACAGATTTATCAAAGCCGTAGTCATGCTTGAAAAAAGGTTCACAGTGCATAGTTAGTTTTTAGCAGTGGTACAGGGACTCTTAAACATGATCATGTCAGAACGAACATTTGTTAACATTTTAAAGAATATTACAGGTTATATCTCCAATTTCTCGGAATACATATAAAAGCTATACTCTTATATTAAGTAGTGATTTTTTTTATATCTGCTCACAGTCTCTGATCTCTGCTCACACGGTTTTCACAGACACAGAATTGTACTGACGCATAGCTGACAACAAGCACAGGGTTTCAACACACGGAATGGAAAGGAGTGTGGGCGTAATATGATCTCATTTGAACAATATATATTCTTGTTACGAATATCGACAGTTTTCATTCTGTTTAATAATGTGTTTTGTGGAGTACTGGTTTTATTTTATCGGTTTGAAATCTGGAAACGATGCATTGCTTAAACGTTGTTTAGATATGTATGGTTATTGTCTTTTTATCGGGGTTTAATACAGGTGTCTGGAGACACCATCCGAAACAAAGTAGTTAGGTTAGACAGCGTAGAAAATATAGGAAACAGAATCGAGGAAAGAAGAGATATTAACCTAAGTATTGCAATGAGGGTTACATATGAAATTGGGTCTATTTCACGGCATTTTAGTAAAACACATAATATAAATCCTCCGATTCTGTACATAACAAAAGACTTCTTCATTTCGCGATCACCTTAACTTTATTTTGGAAGCTGTTAGATCTTGCCCAGATATAACGGATAATATAAAGGGATATTTGATCCCTGTCGCGATCACCTTAACTGTATTTTGGAAGCTGTTATATCTGGCCCAGATTTTATAACTTTTTATAAACTTAAGGAAAATTCCTCTTAGTAAGCTTTTTCATTTAGAAAGAGTAATTGGAGTTCAGCTAAACATATTTGGGCAGGAATTGTTCCTGACTTGCAATGGTTCCCTTTTGGAAAATATCTAATGACATAATCTGAGGTTAAAAAACGTTCATAAAACTAGGGCTAGGACTGTCGCTGAAACCACATGACAGTAGTTAGATAAGGTATACCTTTTTTAATTGTGCAAACAAGCACACGAAACAGGTTTCAATGCAATAACTCAAGTTTATCAAACCAGATTGATATTATAACACAAGCGGACAAAGTTTTGATACCGCATGGTAATGCACAAAACTCTATGAATTGACCCTATGGTTAATTGGAGCCTAGAGCTTTATGAAAAGTTTTAAGCCTAGACATAATGTATTTTCGAAACCCATGAATACAGTCCAATTCTAACTAAACCATTGAGATCTTACCCATGATAGCGTTTTCCTCTAACATTGTATCATTTATAAATGACACAGAATAGTATTTATAACCCTTCTTAACGAAGTGCCCTACTGCAAATTCAATTAAGGTTTTTCTTAAATTGATGCATCCAGCAGATTGAATAAATCAATGGGTAATTTCTTGATGGTTTGTTACAAACATGTGATAATACTAAATTCGATTATATCAAAAATATCATTAAGGCCACTTAAGAAAACTGTATATATCACAAAAAAGCACCCCTGGAGAAACCCCAGAGGGGACTGTTTATTTCGGTTTCAGTCCCAGATTTTGACATATGTTGCCGAACACTTTCACAGCTTTCGTATGTTTGCTTCTGTCAATAATTACAAGCTCTTGGATAGCTCAGATTTACTTTATAGACCTAACATACAACCTAAAGGCATTCCGAATTTCAAACTGAAGATGTTTCGATTATGAATCAGACACCTTTGAGGTTCCCGAAGGGGTAGACTGTTATATTATATATTGCTATTGAATGATTTTGATATTTTATGTCTGGCCAATGACTATATTGGTAAAATTTGCTTTTAAACCAATATAAATGTTGTAATAAGATGTTCAGGTAGAAAAGCTCAATAACGTCTATTTTTATTTATCATTTTACGCCAAGGCTCGCGCTTGCGGGTCGCCACTGGCTCCAATGGCGAAAGAAAAACATGATTGGTGATTTGAAACTACTCTTGACAAAAATGACGATGAGGGGCTTTTACTTAAGTTACTGTCGACAACAGTTTGTTTTAAGCGATAACTGTTTCTAGAGCAATTGTTACAGGTAAATTAAGCCCCACGACATCACTTTGTACTACGATGACACGGCTGAATGCATTTTCTATGAATGGAAAGGTCAGGTATTGGAACTCTTTTGTGTTTTGACACTATCATGGCAGTCATGATATGCAGAACAACCTCATGAATACTAAATTTACCTAAACATGCAAACGGTGTGGAATTGGGAAGCAGATACATGTACGCTGTTCTCGAGAAAGAGAAAGTTAACGATCGAAAAGTCCAAAGCCGTCCTTTTTGGTCATAATTTAGGTAAAGATCGAAAAAAAAGTGCCTAAAATAGAAGAATTTAAGATTCCTTGATCTCAAAGTCGAGTATATCTGATTGATTTTGTCAATTATTTCATATTATTTAAAGAGAGCACATATTATTCTCAAAATGTTTGAATGTGAAATTGTGACTTGGTCATATCCAGTCTCTAGCACACATTCACACATGCACGAATCCATAACATACACGAAGGCACGTCCTTAAATGACCGAAGCTGTTAATACATGTAGGACGTTAAACAAAACAAAACCAAACCAAAACTTGGCCGTGTTTAGTACTAGTCTCGATAAACTTGACAATAATTTCAGCTTGATTTGAAAATAACAAATAGGCCAGACGATGGGCACAGTTTGTTTCCTAAGGGAATGCATAATCTAATGGAAACTTTCTCATAGAATGCAATTAATACATTGTCAATCAGGGACTTAGTCTTTGTTGTGAGTTTTTTTTCATCAGAATATGCTCCACAATATTGTACAACCAATTATAAGAAAGAGAACGAAGTCTTTCATTCAGTTAGGTGCAGAGTTTGGTAGTGTTTAGGGCCGGAACAGTCAAAGTTAAAAAGGACGAAACATGTTAAAAGAAACCTGGAAGAAAAGATCGATGCAAGGAAAATGTTAATTGTTTCTCCTAAATCGCCTGTTCTCCAAATAAGAAGAAAACAAATGTCTTTGATATGTTTTTTTACGTTAATGTCTATACCCGATACCAATAATTTTCGACCTCCTCCTTATTTCTTTTGAAAATCGCAAAACAGATATCACAGTTTATGTAAGATTTTTTAAGTTAATTTTTAAACAAATTTATTACCTTGCGAGCTAAGGTACCTAATCCATCATAAGAATCTGAATTTTGATATCGTGGAAACAAAGCAAAACGGTAAATGTAACGGTAACTTATTAACAGGCAACCTCGGTTGTATGAAAAACGATTTCGGTGATATTAAAGTGTGCAGCTGTGTTAATTTACTATCCATAGTGATTTCCTGTGATCTATAATCTGGATTCGTAATGAATTTCTATAAAAAATTATAAATACAGGATAATAGAATTAGTAAATCTGAAATGTCTCATTAATTTGAAGAGAGTAATTACTACTGCTGTATAACCACCTACACAACACACATATATTCACTCGTTCAGCTTCAAAGTCACCTTAAGGCACAGCAGTATGTACAAAACAGATGTCGACATCGTTGTAACGTAAACCAGAATAAAATTAACTATTGTTTGCATGATAGTAAGAAATGTCAACGACTAAAATAACGTATTTACTCAATAACAACAAGATTATGGATCCCATTACATATGGTAATCGTAATGTATTTACGTAGAATTAAATTTATGCTGTTAAAGAAACGCGTTTTTTTTATATAAATAGGGGGAAATATCTAAAAATTAGCAAGCAGTCTCCAACACTCTTCAAGATGTTTCACCGAATACCAACTCTGGGTTTATGTTTCACGCTTTGCGCCCTGTCGATGATCGGGACAACACGTATGTATATTTGTGTCATTTACAATTCATATACGCTTACCGTCTATTTGCGAAAGCCAACTACTACTACACAAAGTGCTTTCTCGTTAATGCGGCTTCAGTTTTAACGACGCATGACACTTCAGTAAGACTTCAAGTTGAGCTCTAATACGCTTATACTATAAATCATACTATAAATCAATCACACCTGAATTAATTACATTTGGATGCATGTTGTTGGGAACTACACTAGTATATCAAATATTATTCACGTTTCGTATCGATTCAAGCATTGTACACTACTAATGTTCTAGCTAAAATAAGCATTTTTCATAAAAGCGGGACTGCGAACATTGCATTAGTGTGCATTTGCACGACCATGTTTCTATGAATATGCACCTTTGCATAATATTCGATATAGCTCAACTGGAATTGCGACAAAGCTCTAGTGATTGAGGTCTAACAAGGATAACTCTGACGATGAGAATACTCAGTTAAATCAAACACATTTGTATTCAATCACATTTTTATTGTTTATGTTTACATTTTATATTCCACGATGTTTCAGTTTTCTGTCTGCTTTGATGGTATATAGTGCAATTTTGCTTCAGAGGGAACCTATATGCCCGTTCATTGCTGTTCAGGGTCTACACTATATGGTTCAAGATGTGTGTGTAACCCAGGATACCATCCCGATAGTACTCACCGGTGTGTCGGTAAGATAACAGTACATATTCAACTCAATCGCATCGAATGTCATACTTCTAGATATGCGTTCGATAGGTGTTGATAAAAATGTTAATGTCTGTTTAGATATCGAGCAACAATATAATAATAGACGTTTATCAATAGCAGATAATAAACATATTATTACAGTTATAGGATCGAACAACGTTACACGATGTGTGGTGTGCGAGCGATAAAAATCTGGACGATCATTGCTTGCGCACATCTGTACGGATGGTGAACATTGAGAAATGACTTAACAATATAAATGGTTTCGTATTTAAACATTCAAACTTGTTTAAGTATGTTTCTATATTCTAGCTACATATATAAGCTGATATTTTTTATCGGTATTTTCTAAAAATTATAAATTATGTTTTCGGTGTTTTGTAAACGACCAAAATCAACACATGTATAAATATATAGGTAAACATACAATGTAGCCGATTTGTACATGTACCTGAACCGAAGTTTTCCCCACTTATGTAGCTCGTCAATGTGTGCAAATCCAGATAAAGTGGAGTTATTGACCAAAACGAATGCAAATAACAAACACGTAACATCCAGTTGTGTTTTTAAAACGGTCATTCGGTATCACATATCAGCTTTCATTGTCAGGCACATGCTTATGCTACCTCCAGCCAATCATCAAATTGTATTTTACCTGGGAGCCAAACGTATTCTTGACTGTGTAACACGCATTGTATTATTGATAATCTTCATTGATATGATGAGAAATGTATCTAAGCAGTGTCGATTTCCATACCAGCCTTCCTGATTTTTTTTTATCATTCTGTAAAATATAAAATTACTCAACCAATTATACAAAATGGCACATTTGTTTGGAGAGAAGCGCACGACGGGGCGAACGATTGTTAAATCGCATAGTCGTACGCTCCATGTGTGGTCGATGTGCGGAGGCTATTTTTAGTACGTTGTGCGATAATACAACTGTAACAAAAAATACCGTATATGAAATCATGTATATTTTACATCGCTCAACTCGCTTTTTTTTAGAGCCATGTTGGAACAAATGTAAAGCAAATACAGTCTGCAACAAAAATACATTCAGATGTTACTGTAAACCAGGATGCAGCGGTAACCCATATAGCGGCTGCGCACGTAAGTTCACTTCCTCAAGACAAAGCTTTACATGAAGATGTATTATTATTGATTAATCATTATATTCAAATCAATTGAGAAGGTTACTTAGCGAACGCGTTTTAAACCCATCGTTAAATGAAAGTAGAAGTTCGAAAAAAGTTGCTGTTATCAACAAATGATAATGACTACCGTTTCGGTCTGTACAATACAAAAATAATTGTATACTCGAAATACAGCTTAAAGTATTTTATAGAAAACAGAATGAAATTGTCTTTAACATGATTAGTTCACTCAACTTTAGTTTTTTTTCAGCACCTTTAAGCAAATTCCAATTTGCACGATCAAGTTACTCGGTCAGCGAGAGCGCCGGAGTCGCGAAGCTCCAGATAGATAGGATATCTGGAGTGTCCGGGAGAGTCACACTGTACTGGAAATCGACTGCAATATCGGCTAAATTAAACAGCGACTACAAAGGTGCTTCCGGAACAATTACCTTTGAAAGTAATGAAAAATGGAAGTCCATCCAAATTCCAATCGTTAATGATAAGGTAGGATTTTTTCATAATGTTTGACCATTGCTTAACATATACATGTTTGAACATTGCTTAACATATACATGTTTGACCATTAATTAACCTATTTAGCTCCGACGTGTCTTTAAGCGTAAAGGTTTATACGCAATGCAATATTCAAAATAATTAAAATAACTTGTATTTACACTACAGTCAATTATAGGTACATACATTTAAAAATTACAGTGAGTCTTGGAAAACCCATGTATAAATAACAAAGTCTGTTAATACTGTTTATATTTCATATATAATATCAATAACATAACCTACATATATATGAATACTATAAGACTCTTTCATATGTACCGGAGGTGGATAGAAAAATCCTCCCGAGGGGATCATAAATTCGGGTGAAAACCGAGGCTTTGCCGATTAATACCACAATTATGATCCCAGAGGAAGGAATTCTCTATCCACCTGCCGTCACATATAAAAGAGTATTTCTCTCTAATATATACCATTAAAAACCAAATACTTCACCCCTCAATGCCCACAGACGGTCGCCATCTTCCACTTTTTTAATTGCTTTCTCCGTGGTTTAAAAACGAAAATAGCAGTAGAAATGTACTCCCCATACCCTCAAACCGCAACGGCATTGCACGCATAAACAAATACACATTTCCATGATAGCTCTATGGTCAAGTTGTTATTCAATTTTCTATTTTCCATACGGCATTTTCGTAGCGCTATATTTGAACCTCATCGCTTCTTACTGTACAAATCATTTAGTGCGCAGAGAAATATAGTTCCCTAGTTGTAAATAGTAAAACAATTTATTTTTTTGACAAATTTTTAATTCATGACTGATCATGTAATTGCTTAATATAAATGAATTTATAGATACAATCAATAAATACAGAGCCGGGCGAAAGTTATTGACATTTGGAGTTGATCTCCTTAGTTTTTGTATTACTTCGCGATGTGATTAGCACATGTAAGATAGACGCAGCAAGCATTTTTATCTTACATGGCCAGCGTTATTTTACATGACCGGATATGAGATACTAGCGTTAACAGATTTTGACTCGATATGTCCATTAGTCATTCCATAAGCTTATGCCTTAATCAAAAATACTTTTTTAAATTTGTATATTATAAACAAATTTAGAATAAAATTTCTCATTATTGTAAATGAAAAATAATAATTAAAAAATAATATATTGAATAGTTTACTCTTTTAAACCAGAAGGAAAAAGAGATATTGATCATGTAGGCAAGTAAATTGTTGATTTTTATTTTCAAACTTTTCCGAAATATTTTTAGTTTTGTGGGTGATTGCTTAGATACAACAAAAAGAGAAAAAAAATCTGCGGGCATTTAAACATTGATTTGTTTGCATAACTTTATTTATTTGTTGAAATGCACTGTATTGACCTTCTTTTTGGATTGTGTGTTTCTGATGTCATCGGCATTGTCGGCTGTATTATATGTAGTGTACAAACGAATAAAATGTACACAACATATTCTTAATGTGTGGCGTCGCCTTACACACCATCTGAACATGACATTGGCTGTATATAAGACGTTAAGCGTGGAACACCTCAAAACAGACTATACTAAAGCAGTTAGTATACCCCTCGCAACGACGTTGACCTTTGTTGAAAAAAAATAATGAAACTTTTTGTCCGGACAACTCCTTCTAAAATTATGGATCGATTTCAAATCATCTTTCCAGATAAAATCACTACCCCATGAAGTTGTGCATTCAGGTATTTTTTTCATTCTGACCTTTTTTTTTTGCAAAGTTTATCCCTTTTTTGAAAATTGCTTGCCCGTACAACTTCTCCAAAACTACTGCGCTAATTTCAATGAAAGCTTTCAGATATGATATCTATCCCCTGATGTTGTACATCCAGGAATGTTTTCGAACCCTTTTTATGGAGTTATGGCCCTTTGTTGAAAAATTATTTGCCTGGGGAGTTTCCTTATCTACTGGGCCATGTCAAAGAGAGTTTTAAGACATGGTAACTACCTCCTGACGTTGTGCATCGAATAGTGCTTTTTCACTCAGACCTTTTGAAAAGGAATTATGGCCCTTTGTTGAAAAAACATTTTGTCTGCCTCCTTAACTACTGGATCAATTTCAAAATGGGAATAATCCCCTCATATCATGAATGGGGTAAGTATTCATTTGACCCCTTTTAAGGAGTTATGGCCCTTTGTTAAAAATCTTTGTTCTGACATCTCTTCCTTAACTACTAGGATGATTTCAGCAAAACTCGTTCTTCTGGGTTAACAAAATTTGGTTTGCAAGTATGTTTTGGCCTTGGGAGGGAGTTCAGAGAAGTATGTGAGTGACCTTTATACTTAAATAAGTGTACAGATCAGACAATAAAGAAATCATAAATGGTGGGATACTATGGATTGCTTTGCAATGCTTTGCCTTAGTAAGCCTTAAGCTTACAGTTCTGATTTATATATGAGCGGGGTATTACTGTAGTTAGCCTTTGGCTTACAGTTCTAGTTCAATAAGGTACATTTAAATCGCTTTACAGAGTAAATAAAACTAATGAACAATTTCAATACAGTCCCCTTTTTCCTTTCATTTTCAGTAATATAACGAGCTTTTTATTTTCGCACAGTTCTACGAAAACACTGAAACGTTCAAAGTAACCTTAACATCAGCAAGTTCTGGAGGGCAAGTTGGACCGCGTCGGGAAACAGTTGTAACAATTAGGGATGATGATCGTAAGATTTTTGTTGTTGTTGTTGTTGTTGTTGTTGTTGTTAAGGCAGTTTTAAAGCTATGCTCTAAAACCATATATATACCTATATACAGTTTCTTCGATAAAAATAAAGTACCAAAGAGTACTTGATATAATTTAAATATTCCATATCATAGATAAAAAAAGTTTAAAAATACAGTAACATTCCATTTTTACGTTTTGCGTGCATGCATGCGTTGGTTTAAACAATTATCGGATACCAGTTTTAGTGCATAATTTATTAGATAAAATTGATACTTTCACCTATAATATCAATTAAATGTTGCTCATAATTTTAGTACCTGGCAAATTCCAATTTGCCCGATCAAGTTACGTGGTGAACGAGAACGTCGGTTCAGTGAAATTGCAGATCGATAGAATATCCGGATCACTCAATCAAGTCACTTTGTACTGGAAATCCACTGGTATATCGGCTACACTTAACAGCGACTACAAAGGTGCTTCTGGATCTATAACATTTGGTGTTGGTGAAAAATGGAAATCCATCGTTATTCCCATCGTTAACAATCAGGTGGGTTTTGTATAGATTCTTGACTTGATGATTTTTAATATTGCAAAATCCAGATAACTTCATCTAAATCAACCCAGAAGATTCAATGTTAATCGTTTTATTTCCATTAAGTAGAAATATAATGAGCGTTTTATTTTCGAACAGTTCTTTGAAAACACTGAAACGTTCAAAGTAACCTTAACAACAGCAAGTTCTGGAGGACTAGTTGGACCGCGTCGGGAAACCGTTGTTACAATAAAAGATGATGATCGTAGGAACTTTTATTTCCAAACTATAATTAAAGTTAATTGTTAACGACGTACGACAATAACTTTATAAATATGCTTGAAAGGCACTGAACCAATATCAGGAAATATAAAGTTCTTCAGACAAGAAATCAATCCCCGACCATTGGGCGGTAATCAGTAATTCTATCAATTGCTCATATCCTAGCAACACAAAGTGAAAACACAGCAGTAGCATTGCAAAAATATGCATTGTCGACATTTCTGTTTGTGTAGGGATGCTAGTTTGCGTTTTAACGGTGATACCAATTATGATACATAACGGAATATAGATAAAAAAAATTCTATTATAAAGATCATGAAACATTTTTGTATATATTTTCATACTTTTAGTGCCAGGTAAATTCCAATTTGCCCGATCAAGTTACGTGGTGAACGAGAACGTCGGTTCAGTGAAATTGCAGATCGATAGAATATCCGGATCACTCAATCAAGTCACTTTGTACTGGAAATCCACTGGTATATCGGCTACACTTAACAGCGACTATAAAGGTGCTTCTGGATCTATAACATTTGGTGTTGGTGAAAAATGGAAATCCATCATTATTCCCATCGTTAACAATCAGGTGGGTTTAGTAAGGATGTTTGAACGGATTTGTTTTTAAATTTTCTAATGTTACAAAAATTGAGATACTTTCATCAGAATGAATCTATAAAAGCCAGATATGATTGTTTAAAAATAATAATAAAATTTGTGTATACATTTCATGTAAGTGGGTAATATAACGAGTTCTTTATCTTCGTACAGGTCTTTGAGCAAACAGAAACGTTCAAAGTAACCTTAACATCAGCAAGTACTGGAGGAGAAGTAGGCCCCCGTCGGGACACAGTTGTTACGATTAAGGATGATGATTGTAAGTATTTTTCTCACAACGAAAGTATCTTAAAGATGTGATTTACGAACGGTTATGGATTAAAGGTTTAATTTTTTAAATCATATTATGTCACGGAGATAAATGATCAAAATAATGCACCAAGTTGAATCTGCACCATTCTTTCAAATATTCCCATACGTAGTGATGGGTTACCCTCAGCGGATACATTTTATATACAGAAACTTTTGTTTGTGTTTAAGTACAATTGCTCGCCGAGTTGCGCTGACATGTGCGCACAACTGTGCGATTAGGTATAGTTGGTCAATATAACGTAATGCTTGAACATAAATTATCGCTGATGAGATAGATGATTGACAGTTACTTGTATCAAAACAGTAGTGGTGTTGAATATGATTGCGTTTTCCAGTCAGTTGACGCTAGCAACATGTATGTTCATATCTTGCAAAAACCTTTTCGATATACTTGCTTTTAGCAATGAACATTCTGCGTCAGGGTCATTGGGACAATAACGGTAGATAATATGTGTCATTCAGATTCCGATACTTAAACAAACTATTAAGCAAAATGCTTTTTCACTGTAGGAAACTCAAATAATGTTACTATTGTTATTTACAGTGCCGTGTGGAGGAAAGTGCAAGTATTATTCAAACTCCTATTGTAATCTCACAACCAACAAATGTGTTTGTAAGCAGAACTTCTACGGAAATCCGTACATTGGAGGATGCCGATGCGGTGGTGGCGGAGGAGGAGGAGGAGGCTACTAGTCTTGCTGGTTTCATTAGTTCTGTGTCAAATTTCAAAGTGCACTAGAAAACACTGTAGATGCCAATAAAATGGAGCATTATTTCAACGTTTATGTTTTAAATGTATCGTTTTTGAACAAGTTTTATGAAGTTTAAATAAAACGAATGCAGATACGGTTTGGCCAACGGTAAATACACCATCCAGATATATCCTGTTCAGCAGATCAGCATTGGGCCGATATAAAAAAAAATCTTCTTTGTCTATTTGGCATTTTATTTCATAGGTTTGCTACATATTTAGATGGGTTTGGTTTTATTTTCTTTAACGTCCTATTAACAGCAATCGGCATTTAAGGACGTGCCTCTATGTGTGTTGTGTAAGCGTACATGTATGTATGTGTGCTGGAGACAGGGTATGCTGGTGTGATTGCCTCTTTGTAATAAAATGGATCTAATGCCGACTTTATGGTGCTATCGCACTGACATACTATGCCTAAGGTACCCGGCACAGCAGTCCGCCCGGTCACTTTAGGATGACGTATATATGGAGAACTTGTCAGTACGGGTAACACTGACGAAATAAATTGTCATCCTTTTTCTAATTTGAAATGGATTAATACCACATTAAAAACGAGTATCATCCGTATTAACACTGTTGAAATATATCAATGAGCTCAGCACGAGTCCACATCCAAATATGTAGAGAATTGTGAAACATTACGTTCTACTTTAAGCACAGAATTTGCGCTCTCTTGCGATTCGTTAGTGCCTCCTTGATTTCCCGCATCGCATCATCTGTGTGTAACTCATCGCATACAATATATCAACGATTGAATCGTGTTAATTTCGTATGGTCAGACTTTTTGCTAATATAATGACAAAACAATGATATATTTCAATCTTTGTCAAATGTCTTACTTTACGGCTACAAATCTTGAAATATCAATGAGATGCAGATATGAAAAATTACCCTTTCTACGATAAAAATGATAGGAATGACGCATATAACGTATGATTATTATTCTGAACGGCCCATCAACACATAAGAGGTCATTAGAACCAGTAAAAGTAGACAAAACATGTTAAAGGAAAATAAATCAAACGAACGAAAAAAGTAAAAGGCAAGCGTTAACTTTAATAAATTGCAAAAGTGGCTATGATTTAGTTACACTACACACATGCATCTTGCACACAGGGGGGAGGGGGGGGGACCGTCCTTTTGATGACCATAGCTGCTAATAGGACGATAAGCAATACCAAACCAAACCAAACCAAACCCAGGTTGTCTCCATACTCTAACGCGTCTGTCGGTGAAGTTGAGACAGACTCGGGTGCTGCAACCTGACGTTGAGATATGCTACCTTGCAGCATTCCAGCAAAACCAAAACACGCAAAGAATAATCATCAAATTGATTTCCTTAACAATTTCAACAACGTCTTACTTGGCCTATCTTAGCTTTTGAAAGTGGTGTACACTTTTATGGATGACTGAACACACACCCACACAGGAGGATTTTGAAGGCTAACATATTCGCCCAAAACAGTACGGAAGGAAAATAAAATATCCTTTCTAACATTTAGTTTTTTTTCTTCAAAATATAGGTGATCCTTAGCAAAAAGTGAGTAGTGTGTTTCAGCATGTTATGCACTGGTGTACACATACTTAAAAACAGGATCCTTTAAAATGATTCATTTCGGAAGGCGCGGGCACTGGAAAATCACATCCCATTGAATGATTCCAAACACATTGTGATGACCCAGCTGCTATCTCTGTACTCTTTGTTGCCCCAACAGGAACTGCAGCACATAATATTTCTGGAGTAACACTACACTTTTTTGATGCCACAAGCAAAGTCATACACCAAAGTATCTGACGATAACCGAAATACACTCAGGTCTAAGTTAAGGAACCTCAGGTTGTGAATTATAGATTAGATATCAATGGTAGAAGTGGGTCTTTTCATGCAAATACACTACCGACTGTGTGAAATACCTGGGAGCTTGGATTCGTTTGGTGGTACAGTAATTTTTGGACAGTCTTTAAATACATGGAATTAACCGAGGTAATGCGACAAAAAAAGGGACTTTGAATTTGCTTTAATTTCTAAACAGCATCCCATACTAAGGATGATGTAGATTTACTAGCTTCAAAATGCATACACCATGATTCTGCTAATTATCCTTGTGAAGCTGTTCACGTGTTTGCCACTAATAAAAAAGTTGGAACACCAAAACGATACAACGCTAAACAGCCTAAATCAACCTTTAAAGCAGGCTGTGGATAAGATTCCTGATGAATTGAAAAACTATTCACCTAGTGAAGACCCAAGATTTACTGGTGGGCTACCAAATCAAGTTACATTAGCTATTGGAGCTAGAGTAATGCTCATTAGAAACATTGACGTGTACGATGGTTTAGTAAATGGAGCACAAGGCATAATTTTTGCCTTTATTACACATTCTGATACAACTGTTCTTGAAGTAATAGTGGATTTTGATTAATTTCGGACAGGATTTAATGCCAGAAAAGTGACACCCTTTCCATCTGAGACAAAATACTTTGCTGACGCAACCCCTGCGTTAAGATCAGATGTTTCTTACACGATCAAATCTAAACCAAAGGGACTTGCCATTACACAATCCACTGAAGCTTTCCTATGGGCGTACTATCTGTAAAGTCCAAGGACTGACTCTTGAAAATATTGTTGTCTCTTTTGAAAACAGGTTTTCCCGTGGATAAGCTTTTGTTGCGATAAGTAGAGCAAGGACATTGCGTGGACTTTATCATAAACATTTTGATCCCCTAAAAAATACAGCAAACTCATCAGATATTCACGAAATGCAACGAATGAAGATGGAATGTTCACTGCCAGTGTATTTCTCATGTCTGCAAACCCCTCCACAAAATCTTTCTATTTCACTATTGAATGTGCGGTCACTTGTCAAACATGACGAAGATGTCATTCTATTTTTGAAAGGAGTGATATTAGGATATTCTCAGAAACAAGGCTTTCACCATCAATATCAAATACATCCATGGAATGTACAAAGGCCAATACATTATACAGAAGTGACAAATTACGGCTGGATGACAGACAGTCTAGAACTGCTGGAGGCATTTCTTTTCTTGTAAAAAAAATAATTCTATTAAAACACAAGAAATCATGTGTTACAAAGGATATTCCACTCAAATGTTTGCCATTGATCTTAATGCTATATCATATAACGTTGCGCGTGTAGCTATTGATCACTCACCGTCGGCTAAATCAGATCTGTGTACTATTTTACACAGTGTTTTAAACAAAAATCAAATAACAAAGTATGACAAAATCATTGTTGCTGGTGATATAAATCAAAATGTGCTGGAGTCTCATCTTCCTGATAGTGTGACATCTGCGCGACATTAGATACAAACAGCATGCGGCAGTTCAAACACACATGAGCGGTTCCTGTCTGGATCATTTTTATACAAAGAACTTTGTTGTTGAAGAAGTGCCATTGCATGTTATTTCAGTGACCATAGCTGGGTACATGCAGCTATTTGAAACTCTACGAGGTACAAGCAGGTATTTGTTTTAGAATTCTACAAATCGCATAAAAAGAAACAAACAGCAGAGCGATGGAGTGTTTAAAGTACTTCTAAGAAAATGCTACCTTCTATAATTGGTACAATGGGTTCCTCTTTAACTGCATCACCTATTTTGTAAAGAATATCTTGTGCAATTAACACATTACACATTAAAGGGGTGATTAAGTGAAGTTGGATATTTTTCTGTAACTATGTCACATAACCGTTAATAAAAAGTTTGATATTTCTTATGAACAATTTATCCCAAAATATTGCCAAAGTCTAAGGTATATATCAGAATTTGTTTTAAATAATTTTCACAAAATCCCTAATCAAGTGACTATATATACGTTAAGTGGCTCAGTAACAAACCATTGTTCACGTAGGGTTGGTGCCAGACTGTTTGCATACTTTAAAAAGTGCTGACAAATGCACCACGTCGTCAGCTTTCACTAGCC